GAAATATTGCGAGGTCCGGGTGAGATGCATCCGGCGAGGACCTTGACACCCCAAGCCGAGGGTAGAAAAGCCGAAGAACTCGGAGGAAACGGAATCAGTCGGCTGTCACGCATCCCCCTTCATCCTCCTTCATCCCCCTTCATCCCCCTTCGTCGCCACTCCGTTCTCACCGTGAGTCTCTCCTCTCTCTTTCCAAATCGCGGTCGATTCGAGGTTGCCAAATCCAAGGCCGAAAGCGAATGGTATCGAATCGCAACAGGCAGGTCGCGAATGAAGTTTGGATTTTTGTGCAAAAAAAAAAAGTTTAAAAAAAAAACAAAATCAAAAGTTTTAAAAATCGAAAAATCAAAAGTTATAGCAAGAAAGAATTCCCATTGCCCGACCGCCGAATTTTTATTTTTCCGAATGATCAAACTGCATCAAAATTTTTAAAAAATTTTCCTCCACGTCTTAAAGGTATTTTAAGGGTATTTTAAGGGTATTTTAAGGGTATTTTAAGGGTATTTTAAAGGTATTTTAAGGGTATTTTAAGGGTATTTTCACGGATGAAGGGTCGGGGTGAAGCTCATCAGCGAGGACTTTCCGTTCCCGGCGAAAGACCTTTATCCTGACCTTCATTCCAGAAATTGGAACGCATCATCCTCATTTCGTTTTTAAATTCCTCCAAGAAATTCAATCAGAAAATTCTTTTCTTCGACTCAATTCTCAATTTAAAAGGAATTTGTTGGAAGTTTTCAAGCTGGAAAATTTCCTCGAATTTTCTTCAAGTTCGAATTTTCTTCAAGTTCGAATTTTCTTCAAGTTCGAATTTTCTTCAAGTTCGAATTTTCTTCAAGTTCGAATTTAAAAAAAAAAATTCTTCGGCTGCAAATGACAAAAAAAAATTGCCATGCGCAGATGAGGCTCCGTTTGTTGCTGGCGATCGCGATGGCGGCGCTCGTCGACGAGGGCTTCGTCGAAGGTCAGTTTTCCTTCTTTTCCCCTCAAAAAATAAAAAATAAAATAATAAAATAAAATAAAATGAAATAAAATAAAATGCGGCTGGGGGCTTTCAAAAAGCATTTCGCGCAGTTTTCATCGATGAACTTGGACAATATTGGCAGTATTGGCAATATAGGAAATATTGGCCATTGGCATTTCCGAGTAGAGAAACAGGACAGGGCTATCGAATGGTACGTTTCAAAAGAAATAAATAAATAAAATTATATCACAATTTAAAACGTTAAGACATCGTTTGCATGAAATCAAGCGTCGATCGATCGAGAGTTCCGACAAGTCGTCGACGTGCCACGTTCGGGGGAGGCACCTTCGGATGCAGGTGGGAGGCTCGGCACCTTCGACGTTCGGAGGGGATGAGGAAACGCCAGGAAATTCATGCGAGCGGCGTGATGCAAGCGGGCGTTCCAACGTAGAAAAACAACTTTTTTTTTATAACATGTTTATTAATGCGTTTCATGAGATGATGCAAATTCGGTAACTCGAACGCAGTCGGCGGTAAATTCAACTTCAGGGTCGCGCGGCGGCCCCGAGTTCGACTCGCCGGATCACGCGATTTGGGGATCACGCCCTTCCTCGCGTGACGTCATTCGATTCTTTGTGTGACGTCATCACGCTTCGCGACGCAGGTCACGAAAACAGACTCCCTCGATGCCCGGAGAAGATCTCGAAGAAGCGCTCGATCGATTGCGAACGAAGCCAGGATTGCCGTCTCGGGGAGACGTGCTGCTCGTACGGATACGGGACCTACTGCGCGTACTTGGACCAGGACTACGACTACGACAACTACGGCGTGACGTGCGGACGGCACGGGTGTCGACGCAGGGAGAAGTGCGTCCACGCCGAGACGGAAGGATGCTTCGGGGCCAGGAGCTGCCGGGCGAGGGATGTCTGCGTGCCCAGGGGTGAGTCCCTTTAAATCGGAGTCCCTTTAAATCGGGGTCCCTTTAAATGGAGGCGAGGGAGGTCGAGCGGGGTCGGACGTTGTTGCTTGCAGGGGTCGCGACGTGCGAGACCGTGAGATGCACCAGGAACCGGGAGTGCGTGAACGAGGTGAATAACGGATGCGGATACGGGAAATATTGCGAGGTCCGGGTGAGATGCATCCGGCGAGACAGCCATCACCATCATCCTCAGGATCGTGAATCCGGATGAGAATTTTCCCACGCCGGAAAACGACCCGAAGGACGACCTTTCCTCGGTGGAAGTTACCTGGTCGAGACTGGGATGCCTCTCGGTCGAATATTGATTTTCTGTCCTGACTTTGCTCGTAGCCAAAATAAAGCATGGATTTTATTCTCGTATCTGGGGGATCTATTTTTAAGCGAAAAGGGTTCCATAAAGGTGAGAAATGAAGGATTTCCTAAAGGCTCGGTCACCTCCTTGGCAGTCCTTCAAATCACTCCATCTCTTGGATTTTCCTTTTTTTTTTGCCCTTTGTGATCTTCACTCGGCACTGCAGTTTCACCGACTCGGAGGTCCTGATGTGCCTGAATCCATTTTTTTTTTTCCTTAAAAGATTCACCAGCAATTTGGGTTTTCTGATCACGATAAATTTTCATTTCAAAATCTGGGGCCTTTTTCACGAAACTTCTTTAACTTTTCTTTAACTTCATTTCGGCTATATTCCGACTTCATCCCGGCTGAAAATAAAGAGAAAATAAAGACACCTTTGGAGGTCTCTCCATCTCGACTTTAACCTCTCTGAGGGCTATGGAAACTCACCTGTGCGTATTCTTAATAACGTGCCCCATGCGTTGCATGTGCATTCTTTCTGCCACTTGTGAACTGCCGCTCTCCGTGTGAACACGACGCAAGGCTTCATCTAATTCGAAAGCAACTTTGTCGGAAAGAGTACTTTACGAACGATTCTTGGCCACAGGCTCCATCCAATATGGTAGGAATGGAAAGGCCATGACCATCACCGAGCATGGAGTGGATGGAGCCTGTGGCCAGGAATCCAAGTGCCACACATACTATCAGCTGGATTGGTAATGCTCCACAACGGGCAGTACCCCTTTGTATTTTTGCCTGGACACAGATATCCAAGAGGAGACTCCGTGAGAGTCTGAATATGCTCCTGAGTCCTTCATCGTCGTACTCTTCCAAGGAGCTGTTTCGGTCGCAAAGTACTCTTTCCCGACGAAGCTGCCTTCGAATTAGATGAAGCCTTGCAGCCATGGTCGTGTTCACACGGAGAGCAGTGAGTCACAGGTGGCAGAAAGAATGCTCATGCAACGCTTGGGGCACGTTATTAAGAATACGCACAGGTGAGTTTTCGTAGTCCTCTGAGAGGTTAAAGCCGAGCTAGAGAGACCCCCAAAGGTGTCTTTATTTTTTATTTATTTTGAGCCGGAATTAAGTCGAAATATAGCCGAAATAAAGTTAAAGAAAAGTTAAAGAAGTTTCGTGAAAAAGGCCCCTGGACAACTAGACATGTTGTCGATGGTCCGCGCGTCCGCCTAGCTTGGGGACGGGCAGAGGCGTAGCAAGGGGGGGTGGTAGGGGGGGACAGTTGCCCCCGGTTGCAGGGCTGAGGGGGGCACAAACTCCAAATAAATTCCAAACCCTCCAAATAAAGTTCAAATAAAAACGTAATTTTCGGTCCCTGAGTTTGCGCCCCCCTCAGCCCTGCGCCCAATAACAACCCTCTCTTCGAGGCCGGGAGCAGCCGCTCTCCTCCATTGTCTACTATGGATCCTTCAACCGCCAGGGGTGGAAGGGAAGTGAATGTTTTTGTGGAAGGTAGGCACCTCCACCCAGGCGGAAGGCTGCACATGCGCAGTACGTTGTGTTGTCCGTCCTAGTATTTGACGACTCTCTCATCGATGCTGACTCACCAATATCTTTTCATAAAGAACGTACCTAGGCGAATAATGTTGCTTCCAAAGTTGCAAAATTCTCCTCAAACTCCAATTGAAACATCAAAAAAGTGTGCCGATTTAGCAAAAGCCCGACAGGATTAAGCGATGTTACTTTATTGTGACAAACAGAAACAAATACAAAGTTCTTGGGCATAAGAATAATCGATGTTCGATGAGATTAATTAAATAAAGTTTCATCCGCGAAAAATAAATTTCTGTCGAATATTTAAACATAATTTGAGACCAAAATTTGATCGATAATGAATTCCACCCGACCAGGTAATTCGAGCTGAGAATCTTAGTTTCTAAGCCAAAATTAGAGTGTCGTATGTGCCGAATAAAACTGGACAGAACCTTGAAGACCAGGACTTATTGAATGAAATAATTCGATAGTCTGGACTTTGCAATGTAAAACGGCAGAATGGAAATGAGGGCAAGGCCAGCATGCAATCTAATGAGAAGTGGCAAGAGTCATTACGATTCTGAGGAGGCAAAATGCAGATGGCGTGGATAAACTCGTGTTGAATTTAAGCGAAACTGGAGGGGCCCAATACTTATGGCCATGTGTCTCATGTTCTCCTCACGCCACATGCAAGCTTCGTGGATAACTTCCCTTTTTCTCCCATCCAGAAGGACCTAGGGTAGAATTTGGAATCTTTGACTGCTAGCTACTTCAATTCAATTTTCGCAATTGGATTTGGGATATCAGGAGAAATCTCCTCATCCCATGGCGAGGTAGTATCAATAGTAGTACCACGTAGTACCATTTAGTAATGGTGGAGATATGCTATGCGTTTAATATGCATATTTTTATGAAAGCATCACGTTATACTGCCTGCCTGCCGGTTACTGTCTTGTTACTTAACGCTACTTTGCACCCTTTTTTTCTATTACTTTTTATTATATTTTATTTTTTTCCCTCTCTTATCTAAGCTTGTCATGGTGCGGGGGTAGCCACTGCACGATCATCTGACGCATTCCACACATTCACCACCCAACAAGTGAAAAAGTTACCCCTCAACCGGAGTCTCGCTTGGAGTTTTCGCAATTGGAACTGATTCCCCCTATTCAGTTGTCACCATCACGCTTAAAAAGTCCATCGCGTTCCATCGATTCTCTTTATGATCCTTTTAATCTTCGCTGGAGCAAATAGAGCCTCAGCACTTTTAAGCGCCTCTGACATGAGAGTTCACGTACCTCATTTTAATAGTCTCTCTTTGAACCCTCTCTTCTATCCCGCCAATAATTCTGGTCAGGAAAACCAAGCTTGAAACTTGAAAAGGGCTGCAGAGTTCACCTGGAATATGTTGGCTAAGATTCGCAAAGACAAATTTGGATATTACATTGACAAAGAAATCCAATCAACTGTTCTGGAGGGTCCAAACCCTTTTCCACCGGTTTATATATATTTAAACGGTGTATTCCAATTCAATGGTGCCTAGTTTCCCTGAGCTTACCAAGAAGCTTGGTGCCAAACCTGTACTTAAAAGAACTTTTTTTGGCGAAAAAAACATGGAAAAGACAGGCATTACGATTTTAATGCCTTTTTTCTGGGTCACATCGCTTGAGATAGGATTTCTGGGGGGAAGAAGAAGAAATTAAGTTTTTATCCTGAATATCTCAGGGGAACTGCGACTGAGTTGGAATTCGTGTAAATTCTTCAGTCAACACAGCGGAGAATCCAGGGGGAGAGGTGGGCGACCAAGTTTTTTTTAGCGTCTACATTATTATTTATTGGCACTAGTGAAATAGGTATTCAAGGTTTTACCCCAGATGAGAAATGAAAAAGACGATAAGACTGGGAGTGGTGGAAGGCAGAGATGGGGGGGCAGGGGTAGGAATTAGGGAACCCCCCCCCCCCCCCTCTTTGAAAAATTTCTGTAGCTGCCACTGAGGCTACAAGCAAATGCAAGGAATCCCTGCAAGTGGGGAAAGTCGATTCCGCTGCTAAACCGAGAGGCAGACTTTGCAAAACACGTGGACGATCGGTTCCTGGAAGCTCTTTCACCAAGTGACTTGTGCTATTATTACTGCAGAAGTTATGAAACCACGAGTCTCATGAAGGTTACAGCTGCTAGGGATTCATATCTCAACCAGGAAAATATGCGACGAAAAGAGAATGCACCAGAAAACCAGGCTCCAGATTCTCAAGCACCCAGATCTAAAAACGTCCCCTAATGACACGCTTTTCGACAGGCACGTACCTTCAATACATTTTTGCCTCTTTGAAAAACGTAATTATTGAAAGCTGAAATTTGCAACACAAGTGCTCCTCTCGATACTAATATAAATAATGTTTTTATTTGTGAGGTTTATCCCGATTAACTTTTTCCTCGTGGAATTTTCCGCTAAATACATTTTCCCTACAAAAAACTTCAAAGGGGAAGAACAGAAAAATGGTAATTGGTTGTACTGCAATTCCTGGGATACATATTGAAGGAAATTGTCTATTTTTAAGGTACCTACCCAAAAGGGCTATATAATTTTTAACTATGTACAGTAGCTCACAAAAGCAATGCAACACTTAGCGATTTTCACAAAGAATCGAATTTGTCTGTGCAGAAGATCACCTCTCACCTGCTAGTATATTTAGATAGAGCATCATGTGTTCTACAGTTGCTGATCCATTTGTTGGGCATTTGGGTTACTATTAACTCCTTTCCTACAGATGACATATATATACGTCGTGGGACTTAGCGCCTGGCTGAGGCTGGAATAATACCGTTGGGATGCTGGCTCAGTTAATCCCGTGGTCAAGGGGTTAAGCGCATCAACCGCTTTTAAGCGTATGGCTAACGCGAGAGACCTACAAGACTATGCCTCTCTTGGCCATAGGGTAAAAAAAAGCCGCAGTTGAGGGGTTAAGGAAAAATCGCAAAAAAGGTCCGGGCCGACCGGGTTCTTTTGGAACTTTGGCCACAAAGCGCAATTAGCAAAAAAAATTTTTTTTTTTTTTAGAGAATCTCAATTACGTCCCATAAGCACTAGCAGATGTTCATCAGCATGTGTCATCACCTTTGGCCTTAATCACGTCCTTGATTCTCTCAGGCATGGTGATCAGCTTGGTACAGAACTCCACCTCGAGACCATTCCAGACATCTTGGAATTGGTCCCAGAAATCTTCTTGACCTCGAATCGATCCAGGGAGGCTTTGCAGACGTCGATCTAATTCTTTCCAGACAGTTTCAACTGGGTTCAAGTCTAGGGATGGTGCTGGCCAGTTCAGGACAAGCATTTCCCTCTCCACGAACCACTTCTTGGTCTGCCACGCAATGTGGTTGGGTGTCATTATCATGTTGGAATACAATGTCTGGCACTTGCAGACTATACCAGGCGAAAGTAACCATCAGCTCATCGTCCCGGATCTGGTGATGAAGCTCATCAACTTGCTTTCATCTCCTGGAAGATCCACTGGAAGAGGCGCCTCCAAATCGCCACAAAGTACGCAACTTGGCCGTTTAAGACTGGAAGGAGGTTATCTGGTGTGATGAGAGCAAGTTTATGATCCATGAATCGATGGTTCCAAACTGCTGCTGGAGAATACCAGATCAAGCCTTAAACGATTCTCATGCAACCCCTACATTCAAATTTAGCGGTTGTAGCATCATGGTCTGGGGCTGTATCACGTTTCAAGGAGTCGGCTACCTCTGTCGCATCAATAATGGATTGGATGGCAAGCTTTATCACAAGATCCGGGACGATGAGCTGATGGTTCCTTTCGCCTGGAATAGTCTCCAGAGGAAGACCACTAAAGAAAAACTCGGGAGCCAACGTTCATCCCTGAGATGGCATGCAGACGACGACGACGTCGAAAAATGTCTCAAGACGGAGGAAGTCCGAGAAAAAAAAATAATGTTCTGTGGCAATACCATTCCATACCTCATACAATTTTTAAAAATCCCTGTATGCATTTTTCATCGGAGGCACACGCCTCTTTTTCCATCCATACTAGTTAATTAAATCACTGAAATAATATTCTGATGTGTTCCTCGCAGTACAATCTTCTCAACACCTGTTCTCTCTCTCTCTCTCTCTTCACAGAAACATGGATGCTGAACAATAACCATTTTTCCCAGACCCCCTACTTCAGTTCCAACTACATGTCTTCATATCGCGTTCGAAGTTTTTACG